GTCGCGTCCAACTGGCGAGTTTCGTTCTCGTTTTTCGAGAGTTACGGCGAGACTCTCAGTATCGTTCTTGATTATAATTTTGGTATTGTTTTTGGTTATAGTATTGAAACGTAGCTTATTGATGGTAAGCATAGCCTTTTGTATGAGGATAGGGATAATACATTTGTGGGTAGTAAGGTAGATAAAAGGGTGGTGGTTGAAAATATGGAAATTTTCGGAAGTTAGGAGGGTGATAATAGTAATAAGTATTATTATTCGAGGGTGGTGGTGGTGAACGGCTTAGTGACGAAGTACTCAATCGTCATTGAGATGCGTAGCTTAGTGCGGGATGTACAATTTTTCGACCACACTCGACGAATTTTGGTTGAGTCATCTTAAGATCATTTTTATCGTAGGTATGTGGGTAAGAATTTATACTGAGGGTCAATGGGTCAATGAAACTAACAAATTTTTTTTGGTGGTCGAACTGCGTAGAGACTGGAACAGGAATTTTTGTAACTTTCGGTACCAAAGATTCAGGAGTCGTTCAAGTAAAGGTCGTGGGTACGACCTTGTAAACGTACTTGGTCTGATTGTATACTGGTGGGCAAGTGCGATTAGTAAGTAAAGCAGCTTCTAAAGCTTCGTGAATATCTTTAGGTTTCAAAAGTGCTATATTTAACTTCCACGAGTCAGGTAAACCGTTAATAAACCTTTATAGTGCTAATTTCTTAAGTTGTCGTTTTTGAATTGTCTTAAGTTTGTCATTATTTAATTCAGTCAAAAGGGCTGGTAAAGTAGTTTCTGTGAGAGAAATTATTCTACGATAAAAATTTCGAACTGTTTCATTGTAGTGTTTAAAAGGTCTGCCATATATTCATGATACGATTTGAATGGTGAAAATTCTTGTTTTAGATGTTTTTATAACTGATTAATCGATGCAAAAGTGGAACCTATTAAACTCTTTCCAGCATTGCCTTTGAGTCTAGAAATAATTGAACAAAGGTACATAGGTTCTTGAGCGGCTGTTTTTGGAGTTCGTCCATTTTCTACGTCTAGTAAAAAGTCTTTTAAGGGAGTCAAGTATCCGTCATAAAGGGTATATATTAAAATGATTGATTTATGCTTATTAATAAATTAGTCGCATTCAATCGTTGTAAAACATTTAAAAACTGTTGCATAAGAGGTTCATTCACTGATGAAGTTTTTTCCATACTTCCGGGCATTTGTATTATTATTTTAATTTCTCATTTTTTCATATATAATTTATTTAAGTGGTTTTTTTTTTTTTTTTTTTTTTTTGAACAAAAGAAAAAATTTAAAAAACCCACAAGGGATGCGAATTTGTTATGACCAGACTTGTTTAGAGTATGGTGTTAACCGTTTTATTTAAATGTCATTTGTGGATTTTTGAGGATTCTGCTCATGTGAGCTTTGTTTATTCTTTTCATTGAAGCAAAATATTTATTTTAATAGTATAGATAATCATAACTAATGTTTAATGTTTAATTTTTATATTCAAACGATTTTAAATAGTTTTTTTTAAATACAATCAATTCAGATCACTGTAACAAGATTTTAGTGTTAATTATGTTACTGATAAACAACTTACATCTATCACTAATTGCTGTTACTGCTGCTTCGGAGTTCCCTCATGCTTCGTGCAGTAATTTTCAGTGGTTTTTTAAACTACGCAAATGAGTTCGTGGCCGGTAAGATGTTGCGATTTCTGCTTTTTCTGCTATTGCCAGAACCACTTTTGGCGGGCCTTCTCCATTGTACCTCGCTCCTTAGCGTAGTGCGATATGATAGATGTTCTCGAACTGCACCCGAGTTATCTCAGCCAACACGTTATGCCTTAAGTGTATAAGGTACTCGCGAGTCAAAAGCATATTATGAATTATTTACCTTAAAGCTAATCCACACTCACACGCATAAGCTCGTATGAGGTACACTTGTCATATTAGCTTACTGAATGTACACAATGTGTCTTGTATGAATTTTATGGATGAATTGCGTTTTTACTTATTATGTGGTTCGTCTGTATCAACTCGGGATGTAACAAGTGATTATAGATTTTTCTCTAATGTCTAAAAGTAAATTTAAAAAATTTTTATCAACCTAACAAATGTTTGTAATTAATTTAAAAATATAAAAAGAACTCCAAAAAATTGATGACTTTATAGTTTTCTGTATAGTTCTGGGATATTGATACACTTTGAAGATTTCGCAAAATCATCAATTCTATTCAACTCAAACCAAACTGTAGGATGCGTTCTGTATTATCTTTTTAATTTTATTTTTCTTCGAAAGTTAATTGTTGTTTATTCTCAAGGTCCACAGCGTGATTAAACACTTTGTGACTCCTACGACAAATTGGCTATTTATGTTATCTCTATGCTGATTTCATAGGGCCTAAATATCTACAATCAATATATTTTAAATTTTGGCTAGAATTTCATCACCAAAACTGTTTAATGTTTCTATTTTAAGAAATGCTCTATTACCACCTTTATAAATGTAGCCGTACATGTTTTTAATATTTCAAACAGACGCACAATATTTAACGTTTAAGTGGCATCTGTATTTCACTAACAAAATTTGATCATATGGTACAACCATTGAATTGTTAACTGTAATTTGATGTTAATACAAAGTCTAAAATATAGATGATAATCTAAAATATTATTTCTTCTTATGTACTTAGCATGACCATTTTTTTAACGAAGTTATATCAGCAAACGGCTTAGGATACTTTTTGATACACTCATAATTGGATCTATTTTACGATGGGCTGTGCTAAGTTAAGAGACCATGCGTTTCATAACTAATTTTGTGAGTTTTCTATTAATTAAAGGTAAATTAACTAATATAATTTTATTAATCTATTTAGTTAAAACTATTTTATTGTTGAATGTATGTAGTGTTATGAGAAAATATGCACGTGTTAAATGACGTTTTAAAAATTCTATAGGATAAACATAGACTATTACTTTACCGACGAGATTTTTTCATGTACTGTCATTTCAAATTGAATGTAACTTTGTATCAAAAAATTTATCAGAAATGTCAGGAATATCATTAGAAAAAATATTTTTCTACAATGAATGACATAATATATTTATTAAATGCTTCATACGTTAAAAATAAATAAATAAATCCAAATTTCATTAGAAACTTTCAGCAAAGATTATACTTATCTGTTAATAGGGGGTTAGCACACAGAGGGCGCAGGTAAGCAATCCCAACTTATATATATATATACAGTAGACACGAGTGCATGCGTGTGTGTATGCGTGTGTGTGAGCAAAAGTGAGTCTTAGCTGCCCCCCACGACCTTTTCGCTTCTCCTCAATTCAAACAGTTATTTGCTTATTTTCACAAGATTTTCAATACTATTGTATTTGAGCAAACTCTTTCCACTAGCCCTTATACTTTCTCAGCTTCCCATCATCATATTTCCATATGTTTGTGTCGACAAAAATAGGTTTCAGTTTTTCATTTAATAGATTATAAATGTTTTATTGTCTTCATTTCAGCATGTATAAATGGTTTTCTTGTTCAGCAGTTTATTGTAGTTCAGAAAAACAAAGAAATAATTATCTCAAAAACCAAATACAACCATTCTTAGGTTGATACCAAGAATGTATTTGAATACTGTTATTTAATATACAAAAATTTCAAGAATTACTTCAGTTACTTTATACGTTGTTCAATTTTGCAACACTCAATGCAAATGTGTTGCAGTAAAAAAAAAACAATTTATTTGTTGTGTGCAGTAATCTAAAACAGCACCTCCTGCACAGAAAGAAGAACGCGATTACATAGCTCATTATTGGGGTTATGAGCTGTAAACTTTGTTAGTGGTTTTTTGTAGTTTCAATGCATTATGTTACTTTAAATGTGAATTTTCAGTGTTAAGAATAGGTATTAAACAGAAAACAGTTTTTGTTACATTATTTATTCATTTATTTTTTAACTATAAAATATTAACTGTAATCTATTATAAACAAATTTCTGACGCTTAATATCGATAAATGCACTAAAACTACAAAAAATAATTAACAATGTTTGCAGCTCATAACAGGCATTGTAATTGTATTATCCAGCATCGCATCCTTTCTGCCAAGCAGGTGTCACTCTTTCGGATTACTGCATATAACGAATAATTGAAAATAACAAGGTCAAGAATGTCCTTTTAATTTTTTAACTAAAAAGATTTACAGCTAAAAGTCAATTGTACATTTATAATAATATTATAGCTATTAAAAAAACATTGACATTGAAAAAAAAAATTAATTGTTATAATTTTTAGACTTAATTACACTTTAAAAAATAATATGTATATAAACATATTCTGATTTGCGTTAATAACTGATAACAATTGAAAAAATTGTTCTACACTTATATCGATTTCGAAAGGATATAACAATACAAAAATGCAAACATAACATCAATTACTATTTTTACATTAAAGTAAAAGACTTTTATATTGAGTTAGAGTAAAGCCATGGTACGAGAAGCACGCACATTACGTTAATGTTTACTCATTATTGACCCTTCCTCTCCACATGAAATATTATGACAAGCAATCACTGTGAGTTAACATCGTATACGTAGTGAACGTTGTTCCTGATGAGAGTCAGGATAGTTTATTGAAACAACCGAAATGTTGACTTTTGTTTCAATAAAGAATTTAGATAGAACAACCATTTGACGGCTTTTTTAATTTTGTTCACTGTCATTCGACGCATTCTACAATAAAATATTAATTATTTATCTTTTCTGTTTATCCAAGCAGTAACCTTTTGTATTCTCCAGTTCTTAGTATTTTCTTTATGGTCCACGCATATAGAATAAGTAATTAATAACCATTCCATAATTTACGTTTATCCTTTTTGAGTGTCAGTAAAATAAGTTACGAAACATTTTTAACTTAAATGATAAAAGTCTAATCTTACAAAATAATACAATGGCCTAACTAATAAATCTGAACAATATAATGCAACGAAGCAATTTACCTTGTCATAGATTCTTTGTAATCCAAATCGTCAATTCCGAATCTCTCCCTTAAATTTCTAAAAACCAAAGGACAGTACTCTTTTATCTTGAAATGAGAAGGCATATTTTCCCTGAAAAAAAAAAAAAAAAATTATTAGATACTTATAATACTTGGCTGATATACAGTTAAATTAAATATTTTTTTGTTGCTCGAGTACTAGACGAAATAAAAATAAAATACAAGGATCTTTTTAAAAAAACATGCACACTCTTACGATTATGCACGTATGCATTCTATTTAATTCATGTGAAAAAGAGACTCATCGTTCGTCAAAATATTTAAGAGTATAGGATACGTAACTAATTTGCAAATATCTAATATTCTAATTTAACCTATTAACTTAAACTTTGATAAGCTTTTAACTTTTTTAACATCTATTACTTTCAGTTTGGACTTTATGTTATATGCAAGAGACAAAAGAGCTCTGCTTAAAAAAATTAAAAAAAGAGTGAAAGAGACGGATTCCACTATGCACAGCTAGATAGTTTTACTCGCTGGAAAGAAAAAGAGGTATAACCACCAGAAAAAGGTACAGCCGCAATTAGAGGAATTGAGAAAGAAGCCAAAAAAAGTATTTCTACAACCCCGAATGCTGTAAAAACGTGCAAACAGCTGTCGCTATTCGACTACAATCACCTACATAGAAAGGACAACTTTTTCCAAAGAGAGGGGGTTGATACAAAGTTATCGTAATCTAAGCTCATCGTAGCCTGTATGTTGAAGTTTGACATGATACTTTTGGCAAAATTTTAGTTTTGTATTAAAATTTAACAATTCTTATTTTATTGCAAATTATTTAAAGCTATATATTGCAAAAATGCAATTCATATCATAACTGTTTTATAACCATTTTGTCTAGAAATTTATGCCGGACAAAATGTACGACTTCTTGCCTTGAAATTGTATAAATTTAGTTTTTTAATTCTCTATACCCCACATTTTTTGGCAAACAAGAGATTATCTGATACATAAGACTTTCCCCACATAAAAGAGTGTGCTCTGCTTTATTTGATGCAACAAAAATGAATGCCTGTAAGAGCATTTTTTAACATTGCTGTATCTGAGCTAAGAAATTCTAAGAAAATTCTTTAATAATTCTAGAAAATGTCACTTAAGAGTTAAATAACCTATGCATAAGCTAGGTTAACAGATTTATTAAGATTATTCGCCAAAAGGCAAGAACTGCGACTTTCAACAGGGTTGGGGTAAAAGTAGTGAGGATCGCCTACGTAGCCAAATTTACATCGTGTACTATACATAAAAACAGGAATTTATCATCAAACACGTGGCTTATGCTTTGATATTGAAGAAAGCGATACTAATAAAATAGGTAAAGTTAATGGTGGAGTTTTCAACACCAAAATCACCATAAATAGCACGGGAAACTGGTGGCGTCATGCTAGATAAAATCGCATTTAATTTTTTTTGTACAACTATGTTCGTTACATCCTACGTAATAAAATTGTTTATTTTTAGAAATATGCAGTTTTATTGATTTTTAGAGTTCCACAAGAATAATAAAAATTTTATTTTTCATATTTTATTACAACACACAAACATGAATTGTACGATTTCTTTTACAGATTTTATGAGAGAAAAAGTCACAAAATTAAGTAGCTAGATTATTATCAAGATGATTTAACGTCTACGCCTGTACGAGTTATACCTTTATACAAGAACTTACTATTTGTGCCTTAGGGTCACGTAAATATATATACGTGTAAGCTAGTACGAGCACAATCACTAAAATTCCCTGAGCATGAACATTAAAAAGAATGTTTCCAATTAATTTTTCGACATTTTCTTTCATAGAGGCTGTAAAGATGGCTTACAGGTTATGTTTGTGTACTTTTACTGATTTGTTTGAACAAATTGAGACAAGATTGCAAGGTGGCAACAGAATGATTCTTATTCTGAAGTGTCCGACCAACACAAGTATAAAAAAAAATTGAATGCAAATTCATCAAACACTACATCTTCAATTTAGTCTAGGCTAATGCTATTAATTGAAAACATTAGTTCGTAAAAAATGGAAGCGAGTACATCGGTGTATAAAACAAAAATATAAGTAGTATTAATAGTACTAATAGTTCTCTTTTGTGGTAGAAAAAGAAATGCATTAACGCACACTGCAGGGACTATGGTAGTCTCGGGCTTAGTGAAATTTTTATATTAGACCCCTACTACCTACTTAACCCCCCCTTCTCCACATGCCACATAGTTTTAGTTTCACCACCAAAATCACGGTAGCATTACTTCAGGGTGGAGCCACAAACGAGATCAAAGTATCTCACAGTATGAGCAAGCAAGCTTACCACTAACTGCTAGAGGTACTAATTCTATCTAGTCCTAAAAATGATTTGGGGTTCCCGAGAACTGGCACCCATGTCTAGCTCTCCTTTGTAGGCTGCAATCTTTGCACGCACCACTATATACTTAATAATTTCCCTAGTTGACGAGTAAATATAGTTACCACAGAGTAAATCCACTGAGTCCGCATTAGCCTACGATCTTCTTAGAAGTCTTGCCTCTTAACTTGACTTAAAAAAAAAATTTTCCTTATGATATTTCTATGTTAAGAGTAATAAAAATTGCTCATCGAGAAGGAAGACCATAAAAAGTACTTAAATTACAAGTCTGACTCCGTGTTCCCATGCATTTTTTCTCTTAAATCTAATAGTATAATAGATTAACCATCATAATGACTGGAAAGGTGTGTGGGTAAAAATTCGTAAAAAAATATGACAATGATTGATGTACCGATAGTAATTATTATAACCGTACAAAATATTCAAACTGTGGTTTAAAGAATACGTATTTCTATGTACTTTTTTCACCTTTATCTAATGGTATTAGTTTTAACTACGGCATCGGCTAAAAAGATATATGAATGAAATCTCGCAAAAAAATGTGTTAATAAGCGATATACCGACAATATTTAATCTAAAATCTATAAAAATCAATACAGCATTTCTGAACTACGTTTTTCATGTATTTTTTTGCTGAATCCTGAGTAAGGTTTTTTATATTTATTAACAATTAAATGTTATTAACTGAATATTATAATAATGTTCAATTAATGCAAAATATATAATTAATAGAAAACTAATACAAAATCACACTTTGTTACGTTTGCATTAGGCTTTGACTAACTTTTATCAATAGTTTATCGAAAGGAAGCATTATTATTTACAATTTAGCATTTTAAGTAGTAGCTCTCAATCTTAATGCAGCTGTTAAAAATTCACATGAATGTGAGAAACTTAAATGGCAAATATTGATGAAAACAAATAATGTAGGTAATCATCTGACATCTAACTTCAGAGTAAAATACGATTAAAAATTTGAGGAAAACCTTCTAGTCCAAGTACTGAAAGTCTACTAAAAACACGTATTGAAATTTTAATATACACCCAGTACCTATTTTGTCGATACAATTTAAAATATCGCTCAAAAAGGCAAGAGGAGTTTTAATTTTTTATTGCAAAGGGCTTCTGACATACTTTGTTCAATTCTCGTAAAGAAATTAAAATACGTGTCAAAAAAATAAAAAAAATATTTAAAAAGTCAAAAAATTTTAAAATATACTTGTTTTAAGCAAGAAATAGAATGAAAATGGCCCAGTAAAAATAGTAACTCAAATTAAAACTGTGTTAAGAAAGTATTTCATGTTTAAGTCTTTTTTAATATGGCATTGGAAATTTTTTTTTTGTATTTCCGCTTGTGTTTTAAGTGCAGGAAAGTAATATTCTATAGTAAAGCACAATTAGATATAAAAAAAAGTTATCGTCCATATGTATATATTATAGTGCTCTACGTCCGGCTCCTTTAATAAGGGCACTACTATGGACACTTAGCACTTGGGAGAAGGAAGAGAAGAGGGATGGGAGGCCTCCCATTACTGGGAGAGGGGTAGGGGGAATAAGGCAATGTTTGCTACGAGTAGGTCATCCAAACCCTCCTCGAGGAGCATTGCGTGGTGAAAAATCACATGTGAAAAATCACAAAGGTACTTGCCCGAAAAGTCACACTGGCCGGGAATCGAACCACGGTCTCCCACGTGACAATCCACGTCCTAGCCGACTGAGCCACCGCGCGCTCTCATATAAATATATCTTCCTATATTATATAGTGATTTTAGAAGGTCATTCCATACAACCCCCCACCACCCACCTTCGCCACACCTCGGCTTTCCCTAAATCCCCCCATTAGCCCCCTTCTAAATAAGGTCAAATCCTAACAAATTTTACGTAATTTTTATTAAGCTAAACTATTAGTTAACCCCCCTCAATCCTCTTTAGACCCTCGCTCAATTGAAATAACCTTCAGCCACCCTCTAAATAAGGTAAAATTCGATTAGTTTTAATTATATTTTTACAGGGTTGAATTTTAATTTAGCCTACCTTTACCCCCTGATAATTTTATAACGCAATAACTGGATAACCCTATAAGCCTCCCTTACAATTCTAGAGAACTCCCTTCAGCCTTCCATCAGTAGTATCTCTAAATAAAATAAAATTATATTAGTCAATATGTCACTTTTAATTTAATTACTTTTTGCACCCCCACTTTCTGCTCTCCTTTTTAAGAAAACTTCTCAGCCTTCTCACAATTTCTATACAGCCAGCTTTCACTACTTCTTAGATGCACGTTATTATTTTTTATTTGAGCTTAATAATTATTTAAGCTGAATAATTTGTGAGCACATTTCCATATTGACAGTTTTTACTTATTTTTAGTGGGTTGAATTGTTGTTTCGTTTCTTTCCGGCCCCTCTTCAGTATTAATTAGTGTGTGTTCAGTATAATTCAGTATTCAAGTAAATATATAATTAACATCACCCAGGCCGAGCAAATACCCTAATATAATTTTCCTAATAAAATTGAGTATATTTACTTTATTTCATAAACAGCCACTTTAGTTACATAATGAAGGCGACACAACACATAAGCAACGGCCCAGCATGGTGGCTTGCTGCAATCTTTATGCTACGTTACAGTTGGCACTTAATGAATGTTTACACTCACTCACAATAGGGGACTCGGGTAAATTCGAATAGTTATTAGGGCC